CCTTCTAGAAATCTGTCTTTCAGGTTTGCCAGAAGGTAGGCATTCGTCACTCTGGAATTTGTTCTTTTTCCTCCTCCTCTTCTCCTTCCTCTCGTGCAGCACTCACCTCCTCCCTGCCAGCTTCGCTCTCTCTCTCTCTCTCTTTCTCTCTCTCTCTCTGTCTGCCCCAACCTGTGGTGGCTAAGGGTGGCTGTGTGTGAACGCAGAGGGTACCCTTAAAGGGACAGTTGGGGCAGGGGTCTCATTAATTCTCGGCCTGCAGGAAGGGAAGCCCACCGGGATGTGGGGAGGGGCCGTTTCCACTCCGTCCCATCTGGGTTGCCAGATAAATTGGTTTAGCTTACGAGAAGGCTGTCTCTTTAATGGTGATTCTCCATCTTTGTGGTTTTTGCCTTGCCTGGGCCTCTGCTCTTTCTAACCAGAATCTCCCACCCACCCACCCACCTCCTTCCCCACGCTAATCCCCCTTCTCTCCCTGCATGGTGATTGGTTAGGAGGAGCTGGGCTGTCCCTTTGCTCTGCGGCTGGACGCTGCCTTGAAGGTTCAGGCTTAGCTTGCAGGAGGTGGCAAATGAGCGCCCGGCCGGGGAACTTCACAGCCCTCCTTGGGGATAAAAATGGGCACCTGGGGAGGGGTTGCACCACATAAGTGGAAGATGCTATTCGTGGTGCGGGTTGCAATGATGTCTTTTCAAGGGAGAAAAAAACACACACAGAGAGATCACAGATGGTAAATTTATGAGAGCCACTTTGGCCTAGCGGTTAAGGTGCTGGGCTAGGAACCAGGCGCCTGAGAGTTCTAGTCCTGCCTTAGATGTGAAGAACCACCCAGGTGACTTTGGGGCAGTCTCTCTCTCCCTCTCTCAGCTCTACCCACCTCACGGGGTGATTCTCCTGGGGAAAATAGGCGGGGGAAGGATTAGGTATGTTCACCACCTTGAGTAAAATAAACAGTAGGAAAGCTGGGATCAAAATAAAGAGAGAAATCTGGCCTCATCATACGACCACAATTGAGCTCAAACTTTCTGTTGCTAAGTGTGTCAGGGTTCCGAATAGCATCCAAAAGTAAATCAGAGTCCGAGGCAAAGTATTGCTCAAAGTTCCGATTTATGAAGAGAGCCACGTTGGTACATCTGGGAAAACCCGAATCTGAAAGCTTCCCGGTTTTCCCTCACCTAGTTGAAAGTTCAAGATCTTGCCCCCCACACCCACAAGTCCATCCCATGGTCCCATCTCCCACTGCCATGCTGGCAGCTTCCTCCCATTCAGTTCCTTCCTTTTCCTTCCTT